TTCAGCCTGTGCTGGTCCACAGGAGGTGAGGAATGAGCAGGCTGGACTGTTCCTTTTGTTGGCAATGCCAGTTTAGTGTCTAACCAGAGGATGTGGTCTTATGATACAGCTAAGTTGATCTAAGCTAATTCTTGCCAAAAGGGGCGGTCTTGGATGCATGCCTTTGTTGCTTCCTTGTGCCAACATCGGTGCTTGTCTGGCCTTATGATGGGATGATTAATGGAGCTAAAATGACAGGAAACTAATCCTAATCCCTTCTTCCCCTTCCAGTTTTCTTTTCACTTAGCTTCGTGAACTAGTTTACTGTGGTTCAGACAGGTTTCAGTACTGCACGTGTCTGTTTTGTTTCTCTTTCACATCTTGGGCTTTGAGCTATCCTTCAGTGATTCTCGATGAGCAGCTGTATGAGAAGTTTCTATAAGTAATTTTGTCATACGGTAAATGCAAAGTAGAATACTTTTTTCACCAGGAAGTAAGCTAATTGGGTTTGCTGTGATATGGTGTTGCAATGGCAAGAGGATGCACTTAAAAAGCTACCGTGCAGAACCTGCAGAGCAATTTAGTCTTTGTAGTTTGAAGGTTTGATAAAGATAATATTTTTCCAAAATGTCTTATTGGCTATGATTATTAATCTTATACCTTGCTCAAAATTGACTCTGCCTTGTTTGTCTGTCTGAAATTAAAGTTTCTTGGATGCCTCCAGAAGTCAGAAAATTATATTTATATAGTTGAGTAGTGTCTAATGTTTCTTTTGAGCAGCTTCATCTTATCTCTATTGTTGTGGCCCATGCTTGTATTGTTGTGGCAGTGGTTTTGAGCTTTATAGCAACATAGTTTGAGCGCTCCTGGCTCCTGAGAGCTCAGTGTTGCCCTGCATTATGGTGACACAGCTGTGTCTGTAGTTGGCAATGGAGTAGACTGGGGAACTGATTTTGCTGAATACCCAGGAAAAATGGCTGTTTTTTCAGCTAAATTGATTTCTCAATCGAAGAAGGGGCAATGTAGGTGCAGGATTGAGCAGCTGGACAGTGGAGGACTTGAGGGTTGCTTAAGCTGGTGTTGCTGCTGTAGAACATCTGTGGGATCATAGCCACTCTTGTCCTGAAAGCAGCTGGCCCAAAAGTAGAAAAATGCCATGATAGAAAGCTTTTGTCTGGTTAGGCAGTAGATGCAAATCCTTGAGGGCACTCACCCTGAAACCCTTATTGAGGATAGGAAATACTTGCTCTTAATACTGTCCATCAGCTTCTGGATGACTCACTTTAAGGTCATGGTATGGCCCATTTCTTTATGGGAAAGTTTGTAGTCTGTTCAGAAGGGACAGGAAAACAAACATTTTAAAATTTTAATTAGGTTCTAAATATTAATGTATGTAACTAACTGATTGATCGTTCTATGATGACAGTTATAGAGTGGTATAACTGTCTGGGAAATCTAAAAACAGCCTTATTGTTGGTTGCAGTTAAGGATTCCATGCCTTTTACAGGACTTCCAAATAATGCAGCATGGATGATTCTAAATCTTCAAAGCATCTTCCAGATCCCTCTATGTCCTCATCAGTCTCTTAATTGAAAACATTAAAATCAAACTCACCCAATTATAGCTTTTACTGTAGTCTTGTGGACCGGATGCCTTTTTTTTTTTTTTTTTTTTTTTTTTTTTAAGTGGGGATGTGTTGCATACTAAGACTTGGCATTGCTCTGAAAAAAGATGTCTTGCCCTTAGGAAGTGGCTAGGTGTTTGGATGTACTAATGGTGTAAGCAGGTTCTCTCCGCTGTGCTGTGCTGGTACAAGTGTTGGTGTGGCTGCACAGCAAACTGCACCAGGGTCCTGATTTAGCTGGAGTGTGAACCAGAAAACTGACTTTTACACCTGGGTCTTATGGTTAAACTCTTATTGGTTTATCATGTGTCATTGCAGATTCTTGTGCTGGCCTGAAATGGGGGGGAACGTGGAGGAAGAAGGCAGGCATTCGTAATGCATTTAGTAGTTCATCCCAGTTTAGTTTCATCTGAGCTGCAACCCTACTTGGAGGAATAGAATTGTTGTCTAGGGTGTTTGAGATACAGAGTCAGACTGTGGGTTTTTTTTTGCATTTTGTGGCAATGTTCCCTTGTACTGTGCTGGTGCAATTGTGGCTTGTATGAGAGAATTGATCCAGCTGAAAAATAACCTAGGAAAAATTGGTTTTCGGGTGAATCAGCTTTCTGATACGGTTCGTGCTGTGGCTCTACAAGTACCACTGCGGGTACAATGCAGGACATGGTGGCAGGTCAAGAATGAATGTCAAGGCGAGGTTTGCTTAAACCTTTGATGTGGGACAAACATTGCATGACATGCTAACTGGAATTAAGATGAAGATACTTTCCATCTGTGTCTTCATGAATTAGGAAACCTGCAGGTTCAGGTACCCTTGTGCTGAAGTACCATTGGACAATATACTGGAGAAACTCTGGTTTATAATCCCAGTATCAGTTAACACCACTTGGCATGGTGTTGCTCTGGGTTACATAGCAAACTGGTATGCGAGCACTGATCTTCTCTGCTTCATGCTCTAGCTGGCTAGGCTAGACTGCTTTTACTGTAGCTTGGTACTGTGCTTTTACATAAAGGATATAGTTTCAGTGGATTGGCTAATGCGAATATACCTAAATTAGGAAATAGATTCTGGTTTACAACACTGTTAAAATGGTGTTTGAAATGTGGTTTTCCTAGTTTATGCAGGTTACAAATTTCTGTTTAAAAGAAAACCTAGTGTGTCAGAAGTTCCTAAGTACATTTGCTGTTTGCCTAGTTGAAGCAGATTTTACGTCTTTGAGATATGTCAAGCTTTTTTTTTTCTCTTTTGGGAAGAGGAATGAATTCTTTTTCTTTCCTAGGGTAGATTGAGAAGGAAAGGTTGAATCTCCTGCCATTCTAAATCCTTGCTGGGTGGGCATTAGATATGTCTATCACCTCTTGGTGGATTCAGGCCTGGCTGCTCTTGTCCTCCCATATGATCTGACCTAATCATCATGTGGTACTAAGCAAAGTCTAATGTCTCCCGTACATTTCCTTTGATAAAGAAAATTGGCTTTGGCTCCTCTAAGACAGTGACAGCGGTCTTTACCAGCCAGCTTCCTAACTGAGCAATTACTCTTCCTTTTAGCCCCTTTCCACTGGCCTCCCATCCTACAGGGACAGGGCTTGATGCCAATTATATTGGTCATGATTTAACTCTTTCCAGCCTTTGCAAAGATTGTTATAGATTACCAATCTTTTATTCTAAATCTGTGGTTTAAGGGTGTGTCTTTCCAGGATTTCTGTATCCATTGTAAAGAGAAGAAGGGCGCAATCCCAATTTTTTCTCTTTGCAGATTACCGTTACAATTTGCTCTCAAATGGATATAAGGGATGTTTGCTTGGACAGGAAATATATCAAGGAGTGGGTAGGCACTTTCTAGCTAAACTGTAACTGAAGTAAAAGCAAATACTTCACATATGGCAGTAAGGTTTGGCTCAGTCTCATTTGTTTTGTTGTAACAAGTACCAGCTTCGATTGGTCATTTTTGTTGTTTTCTTTTTTCCCCTCCACGCTTCTTTTCCTTGCTTCTCTTCAGATCATGACATAGGGTCCTGGGAATGAATGTATGACAACATGGGTGAAATAGTGTTTGTTCACTACCAGTAAATTCTTATTGTTGCCTTAAATATACACTGAACAAATTTTTGAAACAAATGTACTACCACTTAGAACGTTGTTCTGTCTATTACAGAACAAATGCTACTGATTGGGTGCACTATGAAACAGAAATGTAAGTGGGGAAAATGACTATCTGAGTTACTTTATCAACTATTAATGTGTTGATGTTGTCACATTCATTCAGGTTAATTGTGTTAAGCGAGGAATACTTAATAAAAAACTGTATTAAAAACATTGCTCCAAGTTTATACTTTCTGATTAATTTGTGGACTATTACCTTGATGGTTTTTACTTTGCTTCTTTGCAGCTTGCTTTACCTGCAACTTTGAGAGCTGAAGGTTAGCCTCTGGAAATACCTTTTACTTGATAAATTACTACAGTGCAGCAGAGTTATTTAGTGGTAGTCTTCTGAGTTTAGACTGGTTGAAACAGCAACATACTAAGAATCAGAAGACTTCCATCTTCATTAATCAAAACCAAATATGATTGCTCTTGTATAATGTCTGTTACTGTTTAAATGTTGACACAGTAACCTTTCACTGGAGACTTCCAGCTGGTTTGTTTCTGTTTAAACTAGTGAACATAAAATAATTTTAATTTTAACATAGTGGTGTTTTTTAAGTATGTACTTTAAGAATTATGGAAATATGAAACATTTTAAAATTGCTTATTTCATTAAAGCCCTTTATATATTGCACAATTCTGTTACTGTAGCTGAGGTTTTAGAATGGAAAGCTTTTTTTGTTTATGTGGAAAATTTTTCTTGCATTCATTTTCACTGATAATGAATGGGAAATAGAATGGAGCAAGAGAATTATTTTTTGAAATGCAGTTGATTTCATTTGAAGATCCTCATTTGTCCTCCCAGGTTTATTATGAAGCGTTACTTTACATGACTGGATTTCAAACTGATAGTTGTCCAGTTAAAACACTATTGTTGATATATAAGGATAGTAATCAAGAGTTCAGCAAGGTTCTAGTTAGGCTGACTTCACTGGAACAACTCATTCTTTGTCTTCTCGAGATTGGATTCTTAAAGTACCCAAAAGTTGAGAATGTTCTCATACTTTTTAAGAAAATTATTTTAATCTGTGGCTTCATCAGTAGTTTCTGTGGTGGTACTGTTGGAAGTTTATGCAAGTTTATAAACTGCTGACTAGCAAGTTTCAATCACTAGTTGGATTTGAATGGATGGTGATAACAAACATTGTGCTAAGGAACATGTTTCTCTAACATATGGAGACACCACAATGAACTGGACATATGGGTTAATACTCTCATGTGAGATTTACAGTCTGTTTCTGGTTTGCCTTGCAGGTTGCCATCACGAAAGCCAAAGTGGATTTCTCCGGTGTGGTGTGCCTGCCCCCTTCCGTCATTGCTGGAAATGGGCTGGACGGAGGAGGGGCTGGCGAAAATGATGATGAGCCGGTGCTGGTGTCACTTTCGGCGGCCCCCAGCCCTCAGAGCGAAGCTGTTGCCAATGAGCTGCAGGAGCTCTCCTTGCAGCCCGAGCTGACCCTCAACCTCCATCATGGCCGAAACCCCAACCTTCCTCCACTCAGTGAAAGGAAGAATGGTAAGTGGTGCAGTGCACTCCTGTCTCATGTAGTATGTCCTCACCAAGAAAGTACTGTGGTGTTGTCATGGTATGTGTTCTGATGACGGGGCTGCTTCTTATTGCTTACAATGTTGTATTAGTATGAAGAGCTAATAATCTACAGTTGACAGAACTGATATACATTGTTCGATGGAAAGGATTGATGTTACTGGTTGTGGAAGTTCCAAAGAGCTTCAGTGATAAATGCTTTAGATTATTGTTTTGGGCGAATACCAGAAACAACTTCCATGTGCTTTGTGATGACTAGAAGTTGTGCAAAGCTTAGACAGTCAGTCAAAGGAAGCATTCGCTCATCTTCAGGCTGTGGCCACCTGTAGATTTTTCTTTGCTATCGTGGTGTGCACTTGCCAAGGGTGAGTAACTTTCTCACTGCAAGTGTCTGAAAGGTTCCATTGCGCTTGTTAGAAGGAGGAACAAGACCTAGAGTTCAAAATGAAATAACCCAGTAGGCCTAATCCTAGAGTGAGAATGTTTCTCAAGTTGCAGGTAGCTTATGGACAACTATAGTATGAATCCCTCTAACCCTTTGGTGAGTGACAGTGGAGTGGCAAAATACAGGGTCACTGGGTGACCAGAATTCCTGTTTTAGACAGTGAACTGTCTGAAGCTCAGGATCACTAGGCTGCCATGAAAGCCTCTGCACATTCAGCCCCATCCTGTGATACACCGATGAAACAATTTGATAACTGGCAGCTTCTGTTTGTGAATTTCTCTTGGTGATCTCTCTTCACGTCACTCTCTGGGGTATATGTTAGTGGCTCTTGGCAACATGAAGGTCTTGCTAGAGTCTGAATTCTTGCTATCAACTTTATGTGCAAGATACTATGGATTTGAGCATGGTTGAGTCCTGGGTGCCTTATAGTGTTGGGCATTCTATGCATTACATAGAGTTGCATGGCAGAGTGTACTGGAGAAACTGGGGAACTTTGGTGTGGCTTTATAGCCAGAACATAATGCTTACAGTAAAGTGATTTAGAATGTGGGAACTGTAGGACAGTAATTTGGATTGGAGGGATGCCTCACTTGCCATGCCTGGTTCTTTACCTCTAGAGACTGAGCATGCTCTTCTCTGAACAGTGCGTCAGTGTTTTGCTAGTTGGAAGAATTAATTAAATTTATTCCAAAATCTTGGTTTTTAAGAGGATAAAAAGTTTCCTCTTTCATATACATTATACCATCATTATGTGATTACAGTCATGTTTTCAGGCCTTAAAAATGGAGAAGCTAGAAACTGCAAAAACAGAACAAAAGGCTTCTAATCCTTAATGTTTGCAGTCCTCTAAGTGTAAGATAAAAGGCAACAGATGGAGATACAGGTGGTGGTGGTAAATAAGAGAAAAAATTGGAATATGTCAGGATGATAGACTGTGATCTCAACATATCTCCACTAGTGGTAGACTTGGGCATTTTGTAGTTATGAAGGCAAGGAGAGATTTCAAATTAAATTTAACTGAGGTAGTTTTGAAACTGATAGAGTGGTTGAAGGCAGGATGGGAAAAGCCTTTGTTTCCACAGCCTGACAGCTGGCCACCTGAAGGTGACATTGTGAATTTACTGAAGGCAGGGTTCTTCTCTTCTTAGTGAATAAGGCATGATTAAGGGTCCTGAATTGGGAAGTAGTAGTTTATTCTTGATGCCACAGGGAAAGGGATACTAGTGTTGGGAGTGGACAAGAGTACATTTTTAGGGAAATGAAACTTGTATCAGCACTTCGAACTGATACAAGCAGAACACAACAGCATTTGTTGTGGTCAGAGGAAAGGATATTCAGTTACAGAAATGAAAGAGTCTTTATATGATTCAGTTGTTTGGATAGGTTTAAAAATTGGTATCTTGGGAATATTTTACAGAAATAGATGGTTTTCCTCTGTCATTATAATATTATTTTTATGGACTCAACCTTGAAGCTGTGTCATTGTGGCCTGCAAATCTGCTTGACTGGAACAGGTAAAACAGAGTTGGATTTGAAAAGGAACACATCTGCCCACACCTTTTGCCAAAGAAAATGAGAATATTCCCGGAAATGACTCATTAGGTGGGTCTCTTCAGAGCTGATTCTTTATCAGGGCTCAGCACAATAGTGGGAATTTTACTGCTGGAGGTGCAGCTTTTCAGACAAGGCATAAAGTCCAAAGTCCCTGATCTAAACTGCCTCAGTATTCCTTATCTTCAGAGATATACAATGCTCTTTTCTCCTAGGCTGCAGTATGTTATTAGTGTTGTTTGTGTGTACATTCATTAAAGTATTGTGGGACCAAAAAGCGCTATTGAAGTATGGTTATCTGCAAAGTGTCACAGCGTAAAAGGAGACTTGGTGTAGGGAGCTGCTGAAAAACATAGCTGATGCATTTTGAATTAATAAACTTGTTTCCTCAAATGGAAACTTTTCAGTTATCTTGGGGTAGAGGTTGCACAGCTGTTGAAAGCTGTTGAGCTTGTTAAAACTCCTTTTTAAAATATGGCGTATCTTTGTTGTTATGCCTTTGGCTTCAAACATGTTAAAAAACTTTTAGAGGTGATCTGCCAGTTGAGTTGGCAATCTGCTTAAACATTTAAGCAATCCAAAGTAGTTGCAGAAGCATATCTTGTGCAGTGAAACTGCTTCTATGACAACTTGCCAAATTCAAGGTATGAGGAAGATTCAAGCTGAGTGGCAGTGGGAGGGGAGGAGATGGTAAATAAGAGACTTGCTGGAAGCTGCCTATCTGTGTCAAAGGGTCTCCTGTTTGCAGTTCTAGACAGGCATTGCTGACTCACAGCTGAACTAACTACTTATGTTGAGTGCTTGTAACAGGTTAACCCTTTGTGTAACTTTTGCTTACAGAAGACTTTATCTGTAGATGTCTGTAGAAAACTATTACATGGATTTGTACTGATTTGTTACTTCAGGCCATGGTTCTGGAACATAAACTATTAGCTGAGTTAAAATAGAAATTTCTTTGGCATGTGAAGCGTCATGGAATTGTGTTTCCTATGGGAGACCTAGGAATGCAGTCCTGTATGCACATGCTGCCATATGTTTTAGGACGGCAGATTCCTTTTTGTTTCTGCGTTTGGAGAACTGAAGAGCAGCAAGAGACAGCTTCTGGGGATTTTCTTGTTGGTTTTGTTTTGTTTCAGATGCAGATTCCTCTTCATGTTCTCCCTTATCACAGCTACATATTATCCTTGTAGGTGTGTATACCCACAAGGATAGGTATGCCTAAACATATAGATGTAAAGACCTTAAACATCTTGACTGAATAGATGCTATTAAGTTACACCAAATTAAAATGCAATAAAAGCTATTAAGGATATGTGTGAAGTATTGGAACGTAACACATAGGAAACAATTTCTTGTCACTTCAGTGGAAGGAAACCTTATGTGGCAAGGTGTTAGTAAAATATTTTGAAACATTTATTAGGTTCTATTCAGACATCAAGCTTAATGGAACATTTAAGTTGTAGTTATTTAATTTGTCTTTGTGCTTCATAGTGAATTTTCTACCCAAAATTCATATTCCTTTTCTTTTTTACCCATGTTCATCAAGGCCTCAACTTTAACTATGAGAGATTACCAGTGACTAACTCGTTTGTTGCTACACAAGCCAAAAAAAGGTCATTACGGAGTCATCTGAAGCTCCTAAACTTGATTTTTCTCAGTCACCTGTACTAAGATGTTGAGATAACTATTCCTAACCCTTAGGGCAGGGTTAGAGCAAGGCCTGATGAATGTGGTTACAAAAAAGAGAAAAACCAGGTGATGAATATTCAAATCTTATGTAGTTTGATAATTTCTGATGAAAAATGTCCTTCTATTTAACTTTCATTTGAAATGATGATAATTGCTCTACTAGCTTATTGACTCTGTCTTGACCCTTTTTCCCCAGATGAATTCATAGTTATCTTTGTCCAGAGGTCATGAAAAACATTGTGTTAGAAGCCTATGAGAGTCCTAGTTTCTTCTCACTGTAGGTGTGTTTAAGATGAGGTAACATTCCTTCGAATGAACTGTTGCATTTTATGATTACAGGTTTGGACAAAACTTGTACCAGCTTGTCAATTTTTGGGGTTTACTTGATCTAGGATGCTTGCCTTCTACAAAGTACCATATGTGCTGGGGGGAAAGAGACTAGCTGGAATGTATGGAATTTCAGTGTGACTTGGAAGTCATTTAATAGGCATGTGCTCTAGGTATCAGAAGGTACCTCTGTCACTGTAAAGACTGAGTGCTGTACAAAGCATGGGATTAGTTGTTGCCACATAAACTGTTGGTGATTGTACTCACGAATTGCAGAGTTGAACTTTTTAAATGGGTCTAAGGAGCTAATTTAGTGCCTTACTGTCTATGCCCATTTACTGTTAAAAGACAGGAGTAGTATTTTAAATATTTATTAGGGCACCTCATTTTATTTTAAGGAATTGTGTAGGTGATTGCTCCTGTAATTCTTTTATTAGGTTATATGTTCATGTCTCCCTCCCCTTCTTTCTCTTTTCCATCCTGGATTGTCATCACATTGAATGCAGTCAGATTCAGAATTTATTTAAAATACAACTTATTATGGTGGTTTTGCAGATTTTATAGCCGTCTCCTTGCTACTGTGAGTTTAAAACATTGGTTATGTTTTCTTAAAATCATGTCATAAACTGTCCTTTTAAAAAGTGAATATTGTTACTTGAACTTCTTAAACAAGTTAGGCAATATTTAGTTATCAACAAGGGTGGAATATTATTCCTGAGAAAGGTTATTAAAGAGACTGGATTCTTCTGAAATTATTTTTTCTTCTTTTTCTTCTTTTTCTTCTTTTTCTTCTTTTTCTTCTTTTTCTTCTTTTTCTTCTTTTTCTTCTTTTTCTTCTTTTTCTTCTTTTTCTTCTTTTTCTTCTTTTTCTTCTTTTTCTTCTTTTTCTTCTTTTTCTTCTTTTTCTTCTTTTTCTATTTATTTTGTTTGAGTGTATATCCAACTTCTGGAATACTGT